AGACCATGCAAGTAGGAAGGGTTGCCAGACAATCACGGCTTATCATGGAAAAGACCGTATGTCGATGTTGTTTGGAAAGGCTGCAGTGTAGTTTACCACAGAATAAGGGAACTGGGAAGTGGTGATGCCTTGTGCTGCAGCTCTCAGATTCCACTCCACCACCTCTTATGTTCATTTGTGTGTTAGCAAACTCCTTCCTAAACTGTCACACAAGAAAAGCACCTTATGTTGTCAAGTTATCTCGTAGCGCTGCACAGTATTTACTATAACATGTGGTGATTGTGTATTTTGTAGGCGAATGTGGTATTCAGTTTGCCACAGAAATGTCCTGCAAACAGCTATGGAGTGAGTGACCAATTTTATTTGCAGGATGTTTGGCCAAGACACCAGGAAAAGCTCCCTTGATGGTCTTTTCTCTACCTATATTTTTTTTATTTCCCTACACATGGCCAGCTCAGACGTGTTTCACTAAACAACAACAACAACAAGATTCCATTTATAAAGCGCCTTTCACGTCAGGAGGACGTCCCAAGGCGCTGGGAAAAAAAGACTGTTAATATCATCCAATACTCTGCAGCTCGTGTACTCTCATGGACCAGGCTCCGTGATCCCATCACTCGCACCCTCCCCCGACTCCACTGGCTCCTCATCCCCCAGAGGTTCGAGTTCAAGATCCTCGTCCTCACCTTTAAGGCCATCCATGGCCTTGCCCCCTCCTACCTCTCTGACCTGCTGACTCCCTACCGACTTGCCCGCTCCCTCCGTTCATCAGGCTCCTGCCTGCTCCATGTCTCCTGCCCGACCCGCCCTACCATCGGTGGCCGGGCTTTCAGCCTCTCTGACTCCGCACTCTAGAACTCCATCCCACGGTCCCTTCACCTCACTTACTCCCTTGTCTCCTTCAAGGCCGGTCTCAAGACCCTTCTCTTCGACCGTGCCTTTGGTTGCCCTCCCACCCCTCTACCCTCCCTCACCCCTACACCCCCCTCCCCCATGCTCGGGCCCCGACACCTGACTGTTCAGCGCTTTGGGACGTCCTCCTGACGTGAAAGGCGCTCTTAATGTAATTTTGTTGTTGTTGATGTAGGAACAGATGTACACGGCCATTCAGCCCAACTAGTCCAGGTCAGCGTTTATACTCCACATGAGCCCCACTCCTCTGATACGACATCTGTTAAAGCAGCCACCACAGCATTAAGCTGGCTTTTGGCAATGGATTGTGGGCAAGTGGATGGAGCAAATCAAAGCTATAATCATTTACTCTGTCAAGTCTGCTCTGCTTTTTTTATATAAGATCTTTGCAGCTCCTATAAAATATTCCTTAATCACATTCTCTTGCTTCCATTATTATTACTACTTTGCAATTGCCTATCTGTTTCCATTTTAATTGTTTGAATTCATTGAGCATCTGTAGCATTACACGTTTTTGTAACCGTTTGTGTAAAGAAATGCTTCCTGGATCTACTTTTAACTGGTGAGGCTCATTTTAATATGGTGTCCCCTATGTCCTTGTTCTGGATTTGTCTTTTGAAGAGAAGAGTTGTTTCCTGTCTGCTTTGTCAATTCCTCTCATTATTTTAAACACCTCAGTCAGATCACCCCTTAATCTTAGTTTAACTCTGGGGAATATAACCCAATTTAATTCAGCCTTTCATTATGAAGAGGTAACCGCTTCCTCAGTCCTTTTGAAAGAGGATAGAGAACAGACATATTGTGATGTCCTTGTATTCCTGAATCTTAGAAATTATATTAATAATAATAAGCTTTTTGATATAGTGTCTATTCATGTTTCAAGGTGCTTCACAGGATTTTAATGTAAAACTTAGTGATTGTATTTTGTCAGCGAATTACAGCACAGGGGGAGACTTGTATTCGGTCTCAAATCAGTAGCTGTTTATTAAGGACTTTAACGCAATGGAATATAGATCTCTTTGCAAATCTAGGTCAGATGAGTTTCCCTTCCCTCTTCCTGCCTTCAAAGTAGCATCTGAGTTGTTGCCTTACGTTACCTTTTGTTGAAGAAGTTCAAGGCTGAGATTAAATCACATATGTTTATTAATTGGACTCTGATAAATAAGAATCCAAGATGCTTCCAGCTGTTTTATGGTTTGTTCCCAGACCCCACAATAACATTCTGAGTGTCGGCTCCATCGCCTCAACATTTTCTTGCTGTATGTGAAACTATTGTTGTGGTTCTAGGTGACACACACATGGAAACTGATCGCCATAAGAGTCTCCAAACACTTTTTTACACTGTGTGACAGTTTATCTGTTTTTTCCTAGTTTCCCCCTTCATCTCATTTTGGCAAAGGGGAATTTCCATCTGCAGGTGGCATTACATATGTGGAAGCCTCAGTCCATAGGTTGGAATATTTTTAAGCATGGTTACGGGTTTCTACCTGAATCCCCAAAAATCATTTTGACAATGGGTGTTATTATCCATTATCATTATTAACATTATTTATGTTAATGATATTAATGTTAATGTGATTACCATTAATTCTAATGTTATTAACATTATCCCATCCCAGCTGAATATCTGTTACTTTCTCTCCCCACACTGCGCTGTAAATAAGTGGTCTGGAAGACAGTATGTGGAAAGAGCGTGTAGAAATTTCAGACTAGAAGGTCATGAAAATGAACTTGCTGCTTTGCCATAAGATTTGAGAGTAGTCTAACTTCTGACGTTAGTGAATGTGTGATCAACCAATCCCCGCACAGAAACCTAGCTGTAAGCCTCTAATAAAGAATCCTTTGCACACACAGGGATTGAGATTTTTCATTGGAGATTTATTGCAGTCAGACCAAGGAGATATTATTTTATTACTTTCTTCCTCGGAGTGATAAGGGAAAAGGTTTTGACACAAAAATTATTTTCTATTCTCGCTGCAACGATAATCAGAGTAAAAGTACGTTATTTTGAAGTAATCTTCCACATATAAGATCTATGAATTGAAAAGAAATCAAATATAACAGCAATTGTAATAGCTAATGGTTTTTTTCAACTAGGTACATGTACTCTATATAGTTACAAGCTTCAAATACAAAAGACTGATAATGTTGTAATGATTGAGACTGCACTCTAACCAGAATTTGTGTGCAGTAGTGCTTCACCCTTTCACAGATTAACTCCTTCACTATACTCAATGGACACAATGAATCTGTTATTTTGTCTGTGAACAAAGTTACATGTGATTGCTTGAGATGGATGCCATCTTTGACCAGGAACTTTTAATTTCTCTGATAAATGTTCTGAGATCGATATTTTCGTGGCATTCTAATCGCACTTATAACAAAAATAAGTGCAAGATTTGATAAATTCTTATTTAGCAAAATAAAAACAAATGCTCCCTAAGTAGCTGGTTAGGGATTAAACATGCTTTTTAAGTTATTCATGCTGACTCTCAGATCTAGCGTAAGTAAAAAGAGTGGAGTCCTGTAGTGTCACGAGAGGACCCGGGTTCAATTCCCTGGCGGGGCAATACATTAGGCAAGTTTCCTTACTCCTCATTCTTCATCTTACCTAGCGGTAAGTAGGAATCCAATTTTAGTTGATTGGCAGATAGCTTTCCAGAAGTAATAATCTCTCAAAAAAAAATGGTCACTTGATCTATGACTATTTGTGGGACATTGCTGTGTGCAATTGGCTACAGCATTTCACCCACAAAATACAGTCAATCCACTTCAAGTGCCTCATATATATATATATATATATATATATATTCTGTGAAGTGCTTTGAGTCGTCTTAATGACGCGATAATAATAATAATCCTTGCATTTGATATAGCGCTTTTCACTTCGGGAGGACGTCCCAAAGCGCTTCACAGAACACACTGTATAGTGAATTGACTGTATATTTGTGGGCGAACGCGGCAGCCAATTGCGCACAGCAATGTCCCACAAACAGTCGTGGATTGAAAATGACCAATTTTATTACTGTTTTTTTGGTTTTGGAGGGATTATTATTAGGCTCTGTGTGGAGTAAGGAAACTTGCCCAAGGTTTCACCCTCTGCCTGGAATTGAACTCAGGTCTCTCGCTTGCAAAGCGAGTGCTCTAACCACTGAGCTACAGGACTCCACGATAAAATGCAAGCATCATTATTATAAAAGATTGGCATTTCAGCTCACAGGGTTTACATTATGGATAAGTTTCAAACAAATAAGTCTGCATGTTAGTATACAAACTATCTTCAGAATTTCATTTCAGCCCCTCTGCATACTGTTCAGCAGCTGTGGGGCTTCTGATAATTGTCTTGTTTAGCAGTTCCTCCCACTAACTTTATATCTTCTAGATTTTATCTTGTAAACCCTTATGGATTAAATTAGTGAGTGAATTTTGTACCATTGCACTGTTGTTAAACTATGTTAGTGCCAATGCATTAGAACCTAATGCAATTTAACATCTGCCCTGTATTGTCATTCTTCTCCTTTATCAGTGGTTAGGATTTATGCACCCATTAAAAGGATAAGGATTAATGTTATAAACGTATTGATTTCCCAGTGCCCTGACCTTGCCTCCTTGTTGCTGGGGTCACCAGCACAGAGGAGATTGACGTAATGGTAGTATCGTACTGTTTTCAACCTAGTTTTTAAGAATATCAGCTTCTGTGATGGCTCAGTAAAGTCCAATGAGAACATGATCACATAGACATAGAAGGTCCCAGATTTGATTTCAACCATGGTGGGAGTTTGGGAGGTGGGGTGGGGGTGGGAAGAGGATAACAATTGGTCTCAGCCCCTTATAGTTGTGGAGTGAAAAATCAACTTCTTGAAAAAAAATAGGTGTATCTGTTCAGCCCCGGAAAGGTAGCACAGAGCTCTACGAGTTGGGAGTGTGGACTGGATACTGTGAGCTGAAGCTACCTTTAAACTGATGTCTTAGAATGGCCCACCAGATAATGAGACGTTATTAGCAGTGCTGTACCAGTGCTAAACATTTAAAGTTCTGTTACCAGATATAAAATTACATAAGTATCACACTCTGTGTTTTGTTAATAGCTTTTTGTTGGATCAGCTGGGTACCTGGCACATGCAGAACCATGCAGAACTAAAGAGTATCCAAACCAGACAGAGTTCCACTTGTGCAAGAAATGGAGCCATTTGCCTGGAATGGAGGAAGCACACTCTCCCCAGAAGGGTAACAGGCAGCTCACTTAATCCAGGAATATTCATCCACCCTTTCATCATGTCCAGGCTTGATTATCCGAACTTGGCTTGATTAATCACCTCACTTCCCAGCTTCTCTTACACAAGCTGCAGACCATCCCAAACTCTGCAGCTTGTGTCCTGTCCTGCAGCAGAGTCTTTCAGCTTATCGCTTCCTTGCTCGGCTCCACTAGCTCTTTGTCCCCCCAGGCGATCAAATTCAAGTTCTTCGTCATCATATTCAGATTATTTCATGTCCTCGCCCCACACAACATTGGGTGGGCAATGTCATGAAAGGATTTGAAAAGAAATTTGCTCACTCAATCCACGACTGCTTGTGGGACGCTGCTGTGCGCAATTGGCTGCCGCATTTCGCCCACAAAATACACAGTCAATCCAACAACAACAACAAAATTACATTTGTAAAGCCCCTTTCCCGTCGGGAGGATGCCCCAAGGTGCTGAACAGACAGAGTTTCGGACCCGAGCTGGGGGTTAGGATCAGGGAGGGTGGAGGGCAGAGGGGGAAGAAGGGTGATCAAAAACACGGTCTAAGAGGAGGGTCTTGAGATAGATCTTGAAGGAGGCAAAGGAGGCGGTGAGGCGGAGGGACTGCGGGATGGAGTTCCAGAGGGTGGGGGCAGAGTGGGAGAAGGCCCGCCCGCCAATGATAGGGCGAGTGAGGCAGGGGAAGTGAAGCATGCCAGAGCCAGCTGAGCAGAGGGAGCAAGCAGGATGGTAGGGGTTTAGGAGGTCGCAGAGGTAGTGGGGGGCAAGACCATAGAGGATTTTGAAAGTGAGGACCAGAATCGTGAATTGTGTCCTCTGTGTGATGGGAAGTCAGGGTCACAGAGTCTGGTGTGGGAGAGCACACGGGCTGCAGAGTTCTGGATGAGAGAAGAGTTGGGAAGGCCGACAAGCAAGGAGTTTGGATAGTCAAGCCTCGATGTAATGAAAGCGTGTATGAGGGTTTCGGCGACCTGCTGTGTGAGACAGTGGCGGAGCTGGGCGATTTTGCGGAGTAGGGGGAAGGCAGAGTGGGTCATGGCACAGATATGGGGTAGAAAGGAAAATTGAGGGTCAAACAAAGGTTCGATCTGATTCAGTGAGGTGGAGTGAGCATCCAAGTGCATCCCCTTTACAATACATTCTGTGAAGCGATTTGAGATGACTCAACGATGTGATAAGGTGCTAGGATTATTATTATTTCCTGTGTGACCTGCTGCAGCCACACCTACTTGGCCGCTCCCTCCACTCGACAAACACCTTTTCATCAGCTTAATTTCTGCTATATTATTATTATCTTTCTCTATGTGCTTAAAGACTGGTGTTCAAGATCATGAATATAAGTAGCTCCAGCACCACTCTTGAATGATTGTGATGTGATCTGAAGTACTGAATGGATTATTGTTTCATAATTCAGTGAGACAGCAACAACAAGTTACATTTATATAGCACCTTTCACAGAGACATACCCTTTGTCTTGCATGTAATTAGCAGAAGCAGAAGCTCCATCAATTGCAAAAGCCAATGCCTAGTATGAAACTGAGCTGCACAGATTGGTGAAGTTCCCAGTTTACTTTGTCAACATCCGCTGTCCAGATTCACACATAGGAATGGTCACGTGGGCGAGGTACAGGAAAACAGCTTGTGGAACCACTATCCAGAAACACTCAGCACCTCCAGGAGGGGAAGAGACAAAAATAGAAGATACCGGTGACATTTAGTTTATTAATTCCCGCCGCCACCCCAAGAATGACGTCAAACGTTATACATATCTTTGTTGTTGCTTGTTAATTTCAGTTTAATACACTTGCCTGGTTAAAAAAATCAGTAACTGGCATCTACATTGCATTCATCAAAAACTCCTTGCATGGATATGTTGAAAGAATGTTTGAGGCAGCCTTCATCAAAATGGGAACATGTTGGAGTGAATTCAGGTTTTAAGTACTTGGTGAATCAGTTTTTTTCCGTAACTATATATTGATTATCTAAACCATTCCGTGTCACATTTTAATGATCACTGGACGATATCCAATATGGACTAAAGATCACAAGTACCCACTAAAGAATAGTAATTCACATTATTATTCAATTAATAATCTTTTCAACCTTATTTAACAGCACAATACATAAGTCATGAAAGGTAGGCAAAGAAGAAAAGAAATTGCACTTTTACAGTTAAGCATCTCAAAGCATTTTGCGGCAATTGCTGTCAGGTGTATTGACTGTTTTTGCAGGCAGCCAATTTATGTAGCGCCGATCCCACTCTCACTGACCTGCCCATTATCTGGGAAGCTGTCTGTGAGGAATCCTCACTGATGTTTTGTTTTCATTCCCCAGGGAGTACTGAGGCCAGTGGTAGCATCCTAGTTAAAATCAGTTAACAGCACAGACTGGGTGTTGAATCGGATTTAGATGGGGTGCCCCACCTTTCCACCACAGCTGAATAGTCGAGGCAGGTTCACTGTCTGGGCTCACGTGTGGAGGATGTGGACCGAGGTACCAGAGGGTGACTGACACCTGTGGAACCGTACATCAGCAAATAGTTGATGCACAGAGAGAGAAACAGTTACAGAAACTGCCCCAAGGCAAATTTGATACATTTCTGATGTTGGATACCCTTATTTTCTGTATGTTTTCTCTGGACCGCAGAGGCACTTGAAGAACAGAGTGAACAGATGCGGCTGTCGCAAGCCGGTGATTCTTTAGAAATGAATGAAGCTTTCCCCAGATGAAAGATTTCCTGGCGGACAAATCCCGATGTGTAATCCTGGCTCATTCAAAATGTTAAACTCATTTTGTGAAAAAAATGTTTTACCTCATCTCCTGATAATTATTGATTAGCTGCCGTTCAGTTGCTGCTTTAATAACTGTTTTTAAGTACAAACTTTTTCCCTCTGCTAATTTCTGATATATAGTGTGTCCTACTACATTTTTCTAATTTTGTCCCAAATGGCCTCTCTGCTCCTGCTCAACTTCCTCTCGGGCTGTAATGCCATGGAAGCTGGTTGCTCCCCAGTACCTGCCAAGTAACCAATATTCATGTGTTAGCAAGCCACTTGATCATTGAAGGTGTCAGAGCTGAGCCTGACCCCATCAGCTGCCAATCACACATACATCCAGTAGAGGATGCTAAAGCGGGTCCAAGAACAGGAACCCTGGCTGCTTTCCCCCTCCCTTAACCTGGGAAAGTTGTGGCCAATTTAGTCTTCCCATGTAATCCTGGCTGAGATCAGGTGTTAGCGGGACTGATATTGGAACCAGTGAGGTCATAGTACGTACGCTACAGCTGTACCCACTACAGTGGTGGTTAACCTGTCAAAAAGTGGTCCCCCGAACATTCGCACCAGTCTAGGTAAGTCCATGTTTGATTGGCAGTGAGTTTTCATTTTTTCTTTATTGAATATTTCTTGATTTACAGCATGAATCAAGAAATATTCAATCAAGAACATTTATTTTAATGGCCAGCCATGGTTGGCCACCACTGCACTACACCACTGGGGCTGTCTGTTCATTTTTCGTCTCCATGTTTCTCCCCTGCTCGGTTTATGGAGAAGTTTGCATTTTTTGGCTTCGAGAGGGTTATGGCAGGGGAGCTACTCTTGTGTGAGCTGGACAATGGACCTTGCAGCCTTGTCTAACTGAGCCTCTCCTCACCCCAAATTCATACAATAACTTGCATTTATACAGCACGCTTCGCACAGGATAGTGTCTTGGAATGCTGAGGAGCCTTACAGCAGGCAGCTCTGGATAGTGATCACGAATGGGGACATTGGATCATTCTTTCCCTCTCAGACTTGGGACACTGAGGCAAATTGCGACCCCAATGGCTGACGCAGCTAAGATGAGCTAATACAGCACATACTGGGATTCAAAGCTGTGACTAGTGCTCACTCAGCAGTGCCTTTACTCATGAGTCCATCAGGTCATTAGTAACTTCTAAGCACTTCTACATTTTAATTAAACTTGGCAAATGCTTCTGATTCCCCTGAGCCCCTATTGCCAAAATTAGATCCTAGTACAATGGGTAAACTTCATAGACAGGGGATACCCCCTAGGGACATTAGGGAAGTGATTTCCTTTCATGAGTTCCTTAGAAGAACAGGCACAGTAATAACGTAGTACAGCATCTATGTGAACTTTCTGTGCTTGAACATGAAGCTGCCATCTCATTTAGAAGGAAGCATCACTTTGTGAGTTTATATATGCTTGTACATGGCCTGTGATCTTGTAGTGTTTGTGCGTTGGATCTGTGTGGCATATCTGCTTTGATGCTCCTTTTACTCCCCCCACACACACCTAGACAAAGATCCCCAGTTGTTTTAAAAGGATTGTTTTATATTTGCCCATGTGGAGTTAGGAATCCACAGAGGCCTGTAGGTACCTCAGGAGAGCTGTTAAGTTGGACGTTGCGAAGTAGAAAACACCTGCTCAGGTGACGTATCTGGCAGCTAAGCCCAAGCTGCTTGCTGCCTATGAGGTTTGTGTTCCTATCTGTACAGAACTGTTACCTTAGCTTCCCTGAGGCCTGGGAGAGATTGCTAAACCCACCTGGAGAAGAGCCTGTGGGATTTATAATGTGTTTAAAAGTATTATTAACCCTTTCTGCGGGGAGTAGTTTGCGCTGATATATCCCTAAAGATTTTAACCAAACATTAATAGCTCATTGTAGAATAAGTTAGTTTTTGATGGTGAATGAGCAAATGTACCCGCAAATGTTTATAACTGCTGACTTGTGACTAAGGAATTGACAATATGATGGTGATGAAATTCATAAATTGAGGCAGTAGAGCGAACCTATGGAGAATTGTGGCCAATTCTACTGAGATTGTTTGAAGCTTTAATGGAAAATAGAGGGATGAAATGCCTCCTAAATGTGTTTTCTCATCAGTGAAACTGATGCGTCATAGGTTTATCATGATAAAAGGCACATGAAACATTTAAAGAAATACAGGACTTGGCAATCACGCAGTAAATTTAATGAACAATC